GGGGATTAAAAATTTGTTTTTTTTTTATTTTTTTTTTTTTTTTTTTTTTTTTTTAATTTCAGGAAAGGTTGGGCTGTAAAGCGTTTACGCTACCGGTGCCGGTGTGGCCCGTCACACCGTGAGGTGTATGGCGGTAAGACAAGCGGTGATGGGTCTGGCACGGCTGTGAACGGCTTCTCGCCGTTTGCCGCAGAAAGCAAGCCCAATAAAATAAAATAAAATAAATAAATAACACCCTACTGAGTGTTAGCATAACCGCTGTTTACTGCCGTTGATTAGACTCACTTAGACAAAGCAGTGTTAAAGCAGAAGTAGAGCAATACTGACTGTCTCATACCAAACCATGTGTTTTTAAATCATAGCATGTTTTCAGGTCTCTGTACAACTTAATCGCAAGCCTTAATTCTAACCTTAACCGATCCATTTGAATGCACCCTTTCAAATTTATTCTTTGCTCATATTTCGGAGAGTCATAGAATGGTTCGAGTTGGAAGGGACCTTCAAGATCATCAAGTTCCACCCCCCCTGCCATGGGCAGGGACACCTCCCACTAGACCAGGTTGCTCAAAGCCTCATCCAACCTGGCCTTAAACACCTCCATGGATGCGGCATTCACAGCTTCCCAGGGCAACCTGTTCCAGTGTCTCACCATCCTTAGAGTAAAGAATTTCTTCTTAATAAATTTGTGAGCTGAGATCAAAAAAATCCTTTTTTTGCTGCTCTGGCACAAACTTCCATGTATAGAGGATGTACCGGCTTCTTTATCCATCTCCTAAAGATACAAACCACTTATAATGGTTTAGCTCTCTAATTTTAGTAAAACCATTTTAGCAAGATGTGTTAGAGAGATGATGAGGCTTTTGGCTCTGTTTGAAGTTTTACAAGGTGTACAGCGTAGCAAACAAGGATTCTTTATTAATAATTCCAGGTATTATAAAAATGCGAAAGGGAAGGTTCAGTGCTATGGCTCTAGGAGGTCTGTCTCTCCACCTCCACCCTTAAGGTTTTGCTTTGATCTCCGATATTTTCTCCTACTGAAAGTAGTAAGAGTCAGGGGACTGCCTGTCTGTAAGGAGTGTTTAAAGACCATATGTGAGCGTGTTGCTTATCCAAGTGTTTTCTCTCACTTCTCTTCCCAGCTTGCCAGAGAAGATCAAGATGAGTTTACGGAAGCAAACCCCTAGTGACTTCCTAAAACAAATCATTGGAAGGCCAGTTGTCGTAAAATTGAATTCTGGAGTTGATTATCGAGGTAAGTTTTCCACTTGTCTCTCACTCTGAGTACAGTAATTGTTTGGGGAGGCTGGAACAGATGCATTGCTTTTGAAAAGCAAAACAACATCATCCAGAATCTTGGAGTATGTGAATATAGATCTCAGAGTGGTAACATCAAAAATAGAAAATCAACTCTGGAGAAACTGATGAAAAGAAGATTAACAGTGGATTTAAAGATTAAAATTACTTATCTGAATTGTTAACTTCCTTAGTCACAGATGGTTAGACTGGAGTCTCGGGATAATTCTGAGTTTCTAAACTGATATTTGTAAGGATTGGCTGAAATCACAATTCCTGAAATGGCCAGGCAGTCCCCTTTTCAGTGCTGCCATACCAACCCTTGTTAGAACTACCCTTTTCTTCACCTTCCTGTTCTCCAGTTCCTAGTATAGACCTTGGTCCAGAAAAGCTTCAAACAGTAAACTGTGCTATCAGTCATAAGCCTACTATTACACGAGGGATGAAAGAATTATTTATATTCTTGGTTAAACAACTCTCTAGACACACCTTGAATCAAGACTCACGGGTATACAGGAGAAAGCTCAGTGTGGCTTTTGCTGCTATATGCCCAGTTCATTTTAATACAGTCCAGTAGTTTTTTATTCCAGAACTCTTCAGCCTATCTGTATACCTTCGTGTACTGTATGTAGGATCATACGTTTTTTTAACCATTAAATTAAACTCCTTTGTTCAGTGAAATGTCCTGGTCCCACTTCAATTAGGATGAGACTATTGGCCTGTCCAATTTTCTTAGTAACTTAATTAAAACTATCATGTATCTGTTATTGCACACAATTTAGACATTTTATTCTGGAATGACTTCAACATTATGTTTCTGCTACAGATCACTGCTTCAGATAGTTTTAATTCAATTGACTGAGCTTAGCACTTGTGAGAAGAGACTAGTCTGTGCTGTGACAAGGAATCTTTGTATTATGACAGATTTAAATTGTTATTGTTCACTATCAGAGCAAGCAGTGCCTTCTTATCCCTTCCTGTTCCTCTTTTGTGTCTCTCAGTTTACAAAATTTGCAATCTGTTGTTTCTTTGAGAACCACATTGTCTGAGCACTTCAGGTGGGGTTGGTGGCTTAAAAACTTCGCTGCTTCTCATTGGTATTTGGCATCTGTAAATTCTTCCTTGCAGGAGAATGTAGCGACAGCTCATTAAAGTCAATTAAAGCAAGTCATCATTTACCTAAAGGTACACACAAGGCAGGGCCAAACCAGAATTGGGTTTTGGATGCACTTTCTGTTTTCTTTGAGAACATTGGTACCTTCTGCTTGGTAAGATGCATTTGTAACTGCTGCAGATAAACTACTCAACTTTAACCTCAACAAAGCTAGTTTAACATGCCTACAGTCAGACCTACTAGGAATTGAACCATAATTCCTTTGAACACTGGATTTTTTTCCATCTCCCTTCCTTATTTCCTTCTACTGTCCTTCCTTCCTACTTGATGTGATCCTGCAGTGAAAAACCTGTACACTGTTCTCATTTGACAAACATGCTCTCAGTTTGTTTTCTGAAGAAATTTGACCAGTATTTGTAAAAGCCAAACATTAAAAAAAACCCCAGCATCTCAAGCTTTTGTTACAGATCTGTCGATATTTTCCCTCTAGGCCGTGTTGCTAATTTTATGTCTGTACCTCCACCCTCCGAGCCACTGTATGCACAAACGTAGCCTAATACAAGTGTTGATGTGGAACTGTAAAATGTCTTGATTCGCTGCCAAGTACTGCACACGTCTAAGGGAGAAAGCCCTGGGAAAGTAATCACTGATAAATTAATATGTATGATTTCTGTGTGTAGAAATGGATATGTACATTAAAACATCTCTACACATAAATAAAACAAATAAAATTCTAGCCAGGGTGGGCAGGGACAATATTTAATGCCACTAGTGGGGGTAAACACAAAGAAAAGGAGGAAGAGAATGAAACAACTATGAATGCACTCTAGGAACAAGAATGTGAAAATTCGGCATTTATGGCCTATTGAGTAGTAGCTTAAGAAAATCCACACAGTCCAATTTTAATTTTGGACAAACATGTTTTTTGTTTTCTATTGTTACATGGAATGCTCATGATTACTGTAGTGAGAAAGAATTCTGACTTTTGTTGGGTTTGAGTTTTTTTGGTGCATTTAGTAACACTTTGTGAGCAGTCAGTTTTTCCTATGTGTTTGGAAACAGACATAAAGGAAAATAATAATCCTCAAACCATTACAGGTTGGCAGGAGAACTTGAATTCCTAATTATTTAATAGATTTCAGTAACTCTTCTGAAAAATGGGAGCATGTCCTCAAGGAGGATTCTCAGGTCGGAGTTTTCTCCCCCTCCCCAAGTACAGCTAATACACTATATTTTGAGTTTTAATGCCAGGTAGATAAGTGTTTTTCAAACAGAGGGAAGAAATATTTTAGTAGTATTGTCTGCGTGTGCAAGGATGAATTCAGAAAAACACACATGCAAGACACAGATAATTAACACAGCTTGTTTTGTGCATGATTAACAAATCAGATTGCATTCTCTGAGCAATTCTTTACATCCGTTAATCCCCACATTCAGTTCCTTACATGAATAACCTGTTTGTCGATCGGGCCCATTAAATTTGTAGACCTTTAGGTTCTACCTTTAGGTTCTGACCTTTAGGGTGGGTGCAGACACCGAGGAGAGATTTTGAATGAAAAAACGCTGCCAGCACGTAGGAAGTATTGAGGGAACAAGGTACAGCCTTCAACAGGGGGTATGAGAAGTGAGAACATAAATACTTGTCTAAAGTCAGTGCTACTCAAATGCATATTTTCCTGATCAAAAGAACACCTAATATTACAAATGGCAGAGATTTTTTTTTCTTGAGTTGCATTAATTAAGTAGTGTAATTTTGTTTTTTGTGGGAAGATTTCAGTGTTACTTGAAAACCCCTTTGCCTGTTGAAAATGACGTAGAATTTTGTTTACACGAAAACAGCGACTTGCAGCCAATGTTCTTCTAGATCTGTAAGCATGAAGACAAACATGAAAAAGTGTGTATGGTGTCCTGTACTAAAAGGATTGTTTTTCAGCTATCTCCTTCACAAGTTTTGATGAAAACTCTATTTGCCATAGCCTTGTCTTTAGGTTATCCAGTTACACTTAATGTCACAGGTTCTTTTCAGGTGCATGGCTTAAAACACAAGTGAGAAGGGACAACTTCAACTTTCAAAGTGGAAATTGTCAACCTTTTGAAAGTCATGGCTTATTGACTTCCCCCCCCTCCCCCCTTACATCAACTGATAAAGTTGCTAAGAACTACTTTTTTTTCCAGTACTATTCAAACACAATGCATTTTTGTTTAAGTTTAAAAAATATTCACTTTTAAACTGTCACTGTCTTCAGGTGTCCTGGCTTGCCTGGATGGGTATATGAATATAGCTCTGGAACAGACTGAAGAATATGTAAATGGACAATTAAAGAACAAGTACGGGGACGCATTTATCCGAGGAAATAATGGTAACTCCTCCTCCTTACGTTATTGCTCATTAGAAGACTCTGTTTTGATATTTACTTCTGAATTTGAAGAATGGCTGAGGTGTAAGCTAGCTGCCTGTAAGAATACTCATTTTAGGTTTTCTTGGAAACCTTAGTATCTTTACTTTTTACACTTTCACTTTTCAGTGTCTGTGCTTTTCTGCGTTCCTGTGGCCCTTTTTGCCTCTGAACTTGAAGTTCATTTAGAGAAGCACGCTCTTTTCTAGCCTTCCTTAGAGCTTATTTCCTGTCATTTGACAGATTTACTCTTTTGCACTTAATGCCTGCTTAGATGGCCTCTGCGCCATAGAAGTTTCTGTGTTTTGCTAGGCAAACTACTGCATAAATTTATGCTAGAGTACGCATATTGCTGACACTGTAATATTTTTCTTGTGGTGCCATTGTCCAGACCAGAATGAATGCTGTTCATTAGTACTGGAGGCTGTTTTCATCTTTATGAGTAAAGATTTTACCACCACTGAAGAAAATCATTTGTACTTTACTATTGAGCCTTTGAATATCCTGGTGCAGTAGGTGGATTTCAGTGCACTTCAAGGACAATCCCAGGCTCCCGAAATGACTCTGTGGTATCAGTTAGGCTGTAATAGCAGGACATGCCAGGGAGAAGAATATCTAAAAATAGAAAAGGTTCCCAAGTCAGATGCGAAGAGACTTGTAGAGAAGGTAAATTAGGCAGAGTTTCACCAAGTTCCTTGAGAAGAAAATGGAGGACGGGAAGGAGGGAGGGAATAAACCGAGAACTGAATCCCATGTTACAAAGAGTCAAAGAGAATGTGGCAGCAGCGTGAAGGAGTGTTTTGGGAGGAGAAATAATCCTTGAATGAGGCCAAGTGTTTTTTGCAAGGAATCTGGATTATTATGCCAAGGAGCACAGTGACATTGCAGCTGGAGAATCAGTTATGGAAATAAGAATCTATTACAAAAGTTAAAACAAATGAGTGAGAGGCAGGAGGCTGAAGAACAGGCTGAGCAGAGAACTTAAGACACCCCAGCTCTGGGAGCATGATGCAGTTTCATGTTGTGAATGGATCCGTTCTGGGGATATCACCAGCCAAGCAGGTGGAAGGCATCTGCTGCTTCATAGGTAATTGTTAGTTTTGCCTTAAGTACTTGGAATTTCCAGCTTTTGTTTAAAGATCCTAGCATTTGCATCTAACACCCCTAATTCTGCTGCTTAGAAAGTCTCTCATTCTTCCTCTGTTCAGCCTGCACCTGCAGACACGTGGTTTGGCTATGAATATGATAAATACTGAAGCAAAGTAATACATAGTGTGTAAACTTGATAGCATTTCTTGAAACCTGGACTTAAAAATTTCCCGACTTCGTTCATGCTGAATGGGATTCATTACACTGTTGTTTTACAAGCTATTTAAAACACCTTATTTACATGAACAGACTTCTGCGCATTATTTACCAGGGCCCTCTTATGTGTGCCACTTTCTCCTTTTCACAGTATTGTACATAAGCACACAGAAGAGGAGGATGTGAAGATGCCAGGAGGAGGCTGTTTTGTACTTGTGAACCTCTTCGATGTGATGAGCCCTATTTGATTTGTAGTTAATAATCCACAGGTGAAATACACAAGTGTTTAAATATTTTTTAAATAAATGTAAACCAGTGTAAACTTCCTGAATGTTTTTGTTTCAAAGCATTGCTTTGTTCCACTGTACAGTAAAAAAAAAAATAAAAGAGCAGCATGTAATAGTGCCGCAAGACTAATTCAAAACAGCAGCTCGTTTAATTATGTTAACAGTTACAGAAATACTGATTGGAAGGTAAGCAGGCATGGAGTAATTGCAAATCACAGCCTTGTATTGATGGCAAAACAATAGTTTCACTGATGTTGAGAAGGGGAATGCTAATGTTTTGGTTACAGTGACCTGTCCCTTTTGGAAAACACAGGGTCAGCTTTAAATGCCAGTCTAGTAAGAGTCATCGGGTAAAAAGTTCAGCTGTCCAAAAAAATCTTGAATTGTGGATTGAATCAAGGGATGCAACAGTGACACTTCAACAGTTAGGGGTGGGGAAAGAATTGAATCAAATGGAAGAAAAGCCCTAAGGGTGCAAAGAAAGCTCTGTGCCAGCAGAGGAAGTCAGTCACAGGTGAAAGGCTCTCAGTTGGTATCAATGCAGCTAGTAGCTGCTTCACCCCCTGCCTCTGTGTCCCCCACCCTCCCTCAGCTTGCAGTTACCGTTTTTCCCTGCACCTCTACCAATCATGATAGACTTCTTCAATAAAAAGCAGTTTTAAGTAATATCTGAAGCTACTCCTGAAAACAGACTAGGAATCTAAAAGCTTCTGTAAGCAAGCCATACGTATCCTCTTCACACAATTCGCTTTTTCTCCCATCTGCTCCTTCCCCCCTCCCCCCCCCCCCCCCCCCCAGTACCATCTATATATTCTCTGTCTTTATGTGTTAGCCAGAAATGAGAACAAATACATTAAGCTTATAGTATTATGTGTGCATTAGGGAGGGGGAACCTCTGTGCAGGCAATGGAGTCAGAACTTGTTCGTTTATATTTTGCGACAATGCTCCCAGATAATCAAAGCCCTTGAGTAAATCCAGCTCAGTTTTACATGGATACTTACAGCGATTTATAAAATATCTTTTCTCCTTTTACATGCAGTCAGCCAAGAAAAAAAACACCTGAACATTCAGATATTTCTTAGTCTGAGTGTTACTGTATTTGTCCAGATACTCAGAATGTTTTCTTGTTCCTCAAAAGAAAGTTATAAGTTAGGGTATTGTACCTCATGGTGAGGTTATTTAGCCATTTTTTTTAAAATGAGTCTTCTGAAGCCATGCTTTATTCTTTGGGCAGTTTATAGTGCCTCCAGGAACAAAAATACTTCTAGTTGAAGATGGATGAACAGAAGACAATCGGGTGAATGTAACATTGGCCCCATTCTTCCCATGTACCAGTAATGCAAGTAGGGCATAGTAACATTTCAGTTTTTCAAGGCAGAGAATGTGGGTCGCAAATTTCTAATTATTTTTTTTTTTTAAGTTCAAGAAATAATTCTAAATTATTTTGCAATCAGTAGTTAACCTTTTCACATTAAACATTTCAGAAGCCACTACAGAACACACAAACAAACAGAGGTGCTACTTTATAATATGCTTCAATAATTTATCATTTTCTGACAAGGGTTGAAAAGGGTCCAGGATGCAAGTACAAATCACCAACTTGCTCTTCTGTAAGCAACTTCTTTTAAAAAAAGGAAGATGTACCTCCAAGTGGAGCATGCAATTTCTCATTTGTTTTGTCATCTATAGGCAGTTAGTAGGTTACCGTGTGTTTTCATTCCTGGATGCTGTCTAGGTTTTGTTGTTTGGTTTTTTAAATTTTAATATGGGGTTAGGATTTTTCCCCCCTCTTCCTTCTCCACCTTTCTCCCTTCCTTTACCTACCCGCTTATAGCAACACATTATGCACAAACTTGGATTTACTCTCAATCATGCTTTTTTTATATATATATATATATAAATAATACCCATGCATTTTAATATATATAATTTATATAAAATACTCATGCTTTTTAACTGCAGTTTTGTTTCTACAAGTCTATTTATAGAACATTTTTCAGTTGTGATCTGCTACTTCAGATGGTCTAATCACATATTATAATCTGAACTTAGTAAAGTGACTTCATGATCTAGAATACATTAAAAAAAAAAACCCTCAACATATAAACTGCATAGTATTTTCTATGTGAGGTATATAGGAAAATTTGCATTACAGATGAGCTGTTATAATTCATTCAAGTTTCAAAAGCAGCTAAAGAAATTAAGCATTTAATTCGCACAATCACTGACCTTTATGTACATTTTACAAGATTTTTCCTCAATTCAGTTCTCAGCCCCTATGTTTAAATTAAGTGAACATTTAAGCTTAACTTCAATTAGGCAGTCCAATGTTTGGATGTAGTCTGTTTTGAGTTGAATAAAACATTCATCTTTGATTTACTTTACTTATCTTTTAGATTTTTTTTTGACTTACTGTATTCTGTAGGACAACATACCAGTTGCAAGTAACCCTATCTGGACAGCTTTCAGAACAGCACATGGAACGTTATCCAAGGTTTAAGTTTTAAGGCAAGCCATCCCTTTATATATGTATGTAAACATCAAAGTAGTATGGTGTATTTCACAAGCTTTTGATGCTTAAAAATGACTCAACTGAGTTTGAGATCCTTATCCCATGGGGAGATACAAATACACTCCTACAAGCACAATATATCTTCACACACAGAAGACTGCATTGGATACTAATGCTCATATCCTTCATGGTACCTCATTTACCATATCCTAATGCTCTCACCCCAGTACCTGTGTATAAAACAGTTTTACTTGCAGATCAAGCTCATCTAGATCAGGACTGACAATGAAACATTCCTTGAGCAACTTACAAGTGCTTGTCCATCACTCGCCTTAGAAGAATGCACCCAAAACTAAGTAATCCAAAACTAACCAGCACAATGTAACTGAACTTTAAAGACTAAAGCTACATGCACATACATAGTACTCTCATGCGATGAGATCACTCCATGAAACCAAGGCCGTTCAGACACTAGCCCACCCCCCTGCATGCATTTAGTTCACAGGCAGACTCTAGCAAGAACACAAACTCTGGATTTGCTACATCCCCACAACCACTGTAAGTTTCTTACCCTTGCAAAGCCAGACTAAGCCACATCTCCTTAAACAAAAGCCTGGCTGGGAGCAGCGGTGCAGCATGTTCTGTAGAAACTAGAGAAAGCAAGTTGGAAGAAGGAAGTGAGGGCTCACTACATGGTGGAGCAGCCAAAAGCCAGTTACTACTAAAGTCTGCAGTGCCCCTATATCAAGGGAGCAGAGCATACTGGGAAAGTTTTGCTTTAAAGGTATACACTGATGACCACTCAGTTTTACAATTTATTGCCACCTGGTTCCTGGTTCAAAAGGAATCTAATGCAAACCACTCTGAATATTATTTATTTGAGTTTTTTGTCACGATTTGTAACGATGTTACAATGACAAAACAGCTACCCAGACTCCTTCTGGGTATGACTTGCCCACTAAGTCCCAAGGCTTTTACCCACCTCTCAGAACCAGCTGTGCCCACAGCTGCAGGTTTCAGCTGTGTTGTTCACAGTAGTTAAGAAAGCATGAAAGTGTTTGTGAAGTGACAGCCTTCAAATGTTTGACTGATGGTACCAAAGCAATGCCTGATCTTTAATATGCCAACCCGTGCCCATGGCCAGCTCCAGCCCCGTGTCGGTTTTGAAAGCAAACAGACTGTGGAGCCAGCAGTTTCAAAGTCTTGGGTTCCTGTGCCAAACTCTTCTCCAAGGCTGAGAAATCAGATGGGAGAAGGCTTTTCCTGAGCTGCTGTATTGATCCTGACTGAGGGGACCCTTGAATGTTTAGGAGTCAGCAATCCACACAGCAGCTTGGGGCTGGGCTGGGCTGCACACCCGGTGTGGTTTTCAGGTCTCCGTTGGGCTGCGCGGACTCCATGGCCGCAGGACACCTCCAGCAGCTGATAATAGAGGAGCCTGCAGGCAGCTCCCACTCAGCACTGCGATTGACCCACCTGCCTGGCCTTGCCTTTATCTCACAGAGCAGCAACAGCTTCTCATGAGAACATCCTTTAGAAAGAGGGTTGTTTACTTGTAAGGAAATTATAAAATAGCTCAAGTGATGAAAAGGGAGAGCTGCTCACCACGGATGGGGTTGCATCTGCCCTGTGCAGCGCACCATGGGAAAACCCATCTGGGCTCTGTCTGATGCTACATGAATAAGGGGCGCCCATCATCTGAAAGGATGTACAATTTGCTTGCTGTCTGTATTCCTCAGCTTATTCTGACTTATTAAAGCAGTCATTAAGCTATTTGTTGCTGGGCGTTTCTTACTGAGATCCAGAAAGAGCCCTGCACCATCTCTATCTCTCTCTCTCCTCCCCACCCCATCCCTTCGTGCAGAAAAACTGCCCAGGTTGCAGTTGCCACCTTCAAGCTCTCTACTCGATCAACCTGCCCACTTTTCTCTAACCCCCCCTTCCCCCTGCCCCCCGCAAACTTTGGTCATTGGACTCAGGTGGCCGCTAACTGACCAGGAGGGATTTCTAACTCGCTAGAACCCTGATCATCTTGCAGTAGCAAAGCACTTCTCAACCTGTCAATGGAGCAACCAGCTTGCTCTTGAGCGTCAGCTCCGGGTTGCTTACAGCCATGCCCCTATTATATACTGATCTCCACTGCACCTGCTCCATGGCTGCTGCTCCATGGCTGCTGTCTGGTTGTGCTGCAACGATGTGGAGATGTAGAAGCAATCTGCAAGAAGGAGAAAGTTTTCTGCATGAAAGAGCCTGGGATGTTACTGGGTTTATAATCTTTCTGTGCACTACATCAATGAAACTTCGAGTTATATGGTTTTATAGTCCATCTTAATTATCAAGCTATTACAGAGCATGCACAGTTTTCCGTAGTCCTATTTAAAGTCCCAACTGTGTGGGTTGTTTTTTTTTTCCTTCTACAAATCCACTACACAAATGCTGCTGAGAAAACAATAGGCAGCGTGTAAGTTATCTTATGTCCCCTTCTCCTTGCCAGCTCCCTACTAACAAAGAAATTTATGACAGGAAAAAGGCAAACCTCTCTCTAGCGACAGCAGTGCCACGTGGTCTTCTTGTGTCTGTCTGGGACCCACCGTCATAGGGATACGCAGAGCCTGGC